CCGCCCGGGAAGGACAAACCCCGCCCCCCCCCCGCCGCGCCGGCCCCTCCCAGAATCCGCAGGGCAACCACGTCCAGGGCAGAGCGGATCTGGCCAGGAGGGGTCATACCCTACGTCATCGGAGGGAATTTCACTGGTCAGTAGCAAAGCCGTGGCTTAGCTGTTTGCGGCGGGAGGGGCTCTTCCAAGCCGGATGTCGCCACTCCTGGCTCAAGAGAGCCGGCTCTTGGAGCACCCCTTCCTGGGGAGGGCCCGGTGAGGCGCCGAGCCGTCAGGCAGCTGGGGGGGAGGAATACGGAGCGCTGAGCTGGATCCCTGGGTGGAACCGGAGAGCCTAGACAGGCAAATAGGCCTCATTCCCAGGAGTGTGGAGAGGGCCGTGTCCTGCCGCGGCTTTGCGCTCGCCTTCCAGAGGACGCTTGGCCTCTCGGGTGCAGCCCTGCCTGGCCGCCCTTGTGAGGCGCCGAGCCGTCAGGCAGCTGGGGGGGAGGAATACGGAGCGCTGAGCTGGATCCCTGGGTGGAACCGGAGAGCCTAGACAGGCAAATAGGCCTCATTCCCAGGAGTGTGGAGAGGGCCGTGTCCTGCCGCGGCTTTGCGCTCGCCTTCCAGAGGACGCTTGGCCTCTCGGGTGCAGCCCTGCCTGGCCGCCCTTCCCCGTGTCTTGTGCTAGCCAAGCGTATCTTCAGATACCCAGTCAACTGTGCCTGCCCTGGTGCTCTGTGCGTGCTCGGGGACGCCGTGGCAGAAGTGCCCCGTTACCTCCCTCGGTCAGAGCGGCCTGGGGAAGGGTTGAAAGAGGGGGAGCCAGCGCTTCCCTGGCACCCTAGATGTGGGAACGAGTCCAGCCCTCCTTCCTGCTCGGGCCAGTGCAGGGTCCCTAAGTCCCCCAGCGGCCCGTCCACCCTGGCTTTGGTGGGGAGACTTCTCCCCTCCCTTTGGGAGATCGTGCCAAGCTGGGCTCTGAGGCCATATTTCACTCCGCATTCAACCCCGTTTCGCCCTCGCTTCCTGCGGCCTCCCGGAGGGCGCTTCCTGCTCCAGGTTTGCTCCCTTCCCAGACTGCTCCATGGTTCTGTCCCGTTCCCCCCACGCTGCCCCGTCGGGTTCAGGTACTGCCCTGGGCAGGGCTGCGAGGAGGGGGCGCTGTCTCGGCAGGGGCGCCTGCTGAGCCGCGGCCGGGTGGG